TCCACCCTGACCCCCACCCCGCCCTTGTCACCCTGCTCCTGGTTCCCAGCCTGCCCTGCCCACCCCGTTGGCCGGACCCCCAGCACACCCTCACCACCCTGCTCCTTGACCCCAGCCCCAGCTTCATCACCCTGCCCCTTCCCTCCACAGCCTGGCCAGTTCAGAGAGCTTGGCCGTAGTAGCCTTGCTCTTGATGCTTCAGCTGCATGCAGACTGTGTTGGGGTCTTGGGGTGTTAGAAAAGCAGGATCTTTGGGGCACAACGCCCTGCCATGGGAGCTGGAGGTGGGGGCTGCCTGGCAGCCAGCCCCTGGGTTATAGATCTGTCCACACCTCACCTGCTAGTTTGTCTTTAAGCTGCTCCTAGTGTAGCCTCTAGCCCTGTCCAGATCAGAGCTAAGAGGCTGTACACAGCATGTACCCAAACTTGCAGAAGGGTTACCTCCCCCCTGGCTAGAGGAAGGCCTGGTAACAAGGTGTTCTCATTAAAATCAACCCTTCACTCCCCTCATTTTCCCCATCTTCAGTTTGTTGAATAGAAACAAACCAGCAAAATATGAGATGAATAATCCCCAGCTGCTGAGAGCACAGCTCAGCAAACTCCCCTCGAGGCAGACCCAGCTCAGCCTGCCTCCTTTCTTGAGGGACCTGTATGCCTGTTACAACATGTCCTCAACCAGAGCACCAAAGGGCCAGCAGCAGGAGGGCTGGGGTGGACAAACAGGAGGGTGAAGATGCTGTCCAGCCATCGGCAATGGGGAGAGGTTACAGAAGAAGAGGACAGTGCGTGCAGTGTGGGATTTCTTGGATATGTGGGTGGTACCCATAAATTGAGCACTGTCTTCTCGCTGCATGCAGCAGTACTAGGACAGGGAACCTGCACCCAGCTGCCTCTGCTGGGGTACAGCTGACTATGGGATGAGATGACACCAGTGATTGTAGCATCTGCTATTGGATGAAAATAACAGCAAAATCAGGGCAGAAACAGAACTGACAGAGCCTTTGCCTGTTTTACCATGAGTATGGCGAAGTGAAAGTGGTTTTTCAGAATAGGTAAATTCTTTACCCTTTCCTGTACTAAAAATCCCTCATCAGGTAGTGTCTGATGATTGCTGATTGGTTTGGGCTGGATTGAAGACTTCCTACATGCTTGCTTAAAATAAATAGGAGTCATACAGAATGAGCAAAATAAAGAGATAATCTAGGCTTTACAAGAAGCGATTCATGAAAACATTCATTTTATTTATGTTTTGTTTAGCCCTCTGAATAACTGCCCACACATTTCCACTGTTTTATTCCTGGTCTTCATCTGCCAGATGATGTGCTTCCCACATTTATTTTCAGGTCCTAAGAGTGGCAAATATGATAGGAATTGAAATAAATTCAACAGCAGCACCAGATGGAGCTTGGTATTAGGACACCTGGAGGGTGGGGGAGGAAGAAGGAGAAAGAAAAGAATAAAACATGTATGATTACTAAATATAATCAACACCAACTTTTTCATAAATGTTTGCTTATCACAAGTTTGAATAGCAGGTGTTAAAGAGGGCTGTAAACTGTGATTACAAGTGACTTAACAGTGACCAGTGAATAACCAGTCTGTTAAGTAGACTCCATGTAGAGCATGCCTGAAAACATGCTGGATTTGCTGTGTGCTCTGGAAGTCTGCCATTTTCTAAAGTGTTTTTCCCACAAATTCTTTTAGGAAAGCCCAAGGTGTATCAAGGTGTTAGAGTAAAGATTACAGTCAAGGAGTTACTGCAGCAGAGGAGAGCACGGCAAGCAGCAACCAGTGCAGCAGTAAGTAAAAATTCTTTTGGGGTCTGCTTTGTCTCTTCTTTCTTAATCTTTTTTTTTTTTTTTCTTTTTTTTTTTTTTTTCTCTTTTTTTTTTTTTGCCAAGGCTATAATCTGTGGGCCAAGGAGACTGCCAAAGTCTGACTGTAGCAGGCTGGTGAGGATGGGGGAGAAGAACGTTCAGCCAGGGTAACTGCAGCAATGATCTAAACAGGTGACAGTCTGAGCCATTAGTGTAGGGAGAAAGTGGAACTGGTGCTCCAGAAATGTAACTCACTCTGGGATAGAAGGATCATGTGGACAAATTTCAATCCAATTTACAGTTATCACTCCAGTATTATTATGCTGGATGAGCAAGGCAGGCCACGGTCACTGCCCTCATTTAAAATGTGGCCTGGCTGGGCTGAAGCAAGCACCAAACTGCTTTGCAGCATCAAGTGAAGCATATGCCCAGGGCATGCCTTCAACCTGACTTGTGCAGCTTTGAGGGGCAACCAGTGCAAAGCTCTGTCACACTAAAGCTCCCCTAACCTCCCCCTTTTCCACAAGTCTCAGCCCCCCAGAAAGTTGCTTTCAACCACCCCCTATCCCTGTAGGCTTTCTCTTGTCCGGTTGGATCAGGCAGGAAATGAAAGCACCAGAGGTACAGTGTGTCCAGCAGTTCCCAGGCAGTGGAGAGGGTTTGGGTGAAATACTCAAGCATGCTTGACTGAATTCAGATCTCCAGTGTTTTTTCATACCACCTGGTTGCTTTCTAGCCCCACCCCTTCTAAAGGAGGGAACAGAGACCCCAGTTTGTGTACAGCCACGTGTGTACACTCTCTCTCACTCACTTTTCCAGTCTTTGTAGGAGTTCTCTAGCTCCAGCCACTCTAGAGATTTGCATAAAGAAGTTGGTAAATCCTTACTTCTTCCTGGTTTGTGACATTCCAGCTTTAGATGGTTTTCAGATTTAATCTCCCACCTCCTGTACCTCGTTTCAGCTGATTGCACAAAAAGATGGTCAGCCTGCAAGCCACAGGCAGAGAGGCCTGGGTGAACAGTGCACAAAACTCTGGCCTTTGGAAATGCTGGCTCACTCCTCCCCTCCAGCCCTCATAGAAGCAGCCTCTTCATCACAGCCAGGCGTCACAGAACTGCATGGAACTGGTTTTCCCTTCCCACAGGGAGTTTATACACTGCTTGTTTTGCCCACACAGGAAAAAGTGAAAAGTGGCAGTTCAGGAGGTTACCTTTGTGATCTGCAGAAGGTACACGTTGTCCTGGAGAGTCCCCAGAGGTTAGGGCTGTCGGGATAAGCTGCCTCTGTGCACTGAAAAAAAGCCAAACCTGAAAACTTCTGCTGCTGGTGCTATGACTCTGTCTGCATTGTTACATATCTCCAGCCAAAGAGAAGAGAGGTAGTCCTACAGGCAGTTTCAGTCCAGAATAGCCACTATTTAATGAATTAAAGGCACAGGGATGTGCTAGAAAGCTGTTGCTAAGTAAATGAACTGCTAACTCAAGAGTATTTTGAATAAAGAAAATGAAGTGGAAATCTGTATGAATTAAAACTGAGGAAAAAAACACTGTATTTGTATTTGCAGAGTAAAATCCTTGTCTCAGACAACAAGCACCAAAACTCCCATTGCTTTTGGGGTGGATTTCTCCCCTCCGGCAGGTCAGGTTCCTAGAACAGGTTGATCTGTCCGCTTCAGCTTCCAGCATCCCTCACAAAACGTCCATTTTTGTAGAGGCACGTAGCTATGTTAGAGCAGGGAACGATGTCAGAGCTGCTTCTTGAATGACATAAAGCACCAAGCATGGTGACCCAGTCTGATGCCCAGCCATGGGGATACCTGCAATTGTCTTTAGTCATGTTTCAAGAGTTATCGCTGCAATTTGTTAATTACTCATTCTCAGTCATATTTATCCCTACAAATTCTTTGGGATCCCTCCACTGTGGAATTCACAGTCCTAGAAATTAACACGTTAGTTCCAAAGGCAGCCACATCTCTGCTGAATTAACAGTCATAATGCAGTCGGAAGATTCACACTAGCAAGGTGCTGGATGGTACTTTACACCAGGTTGGTGTTGTGCTCCTCTAGTGCTGTTATAGGCTCAGGGAAAAAATCATGTTATGCACATTAATCTTGTTCTGTCAATGCTAGGGAAGTTTTCCATGTCATAGCCATGAGATAAATAAGGTTTACATAGAGAGGTTGAAGTAAAATCCTGACTCACCTCAGCATGCAGAAAAACGCGCCCCTGTATTACAGTGTGTGCAATTCATTTTCTTCCCTTCTCTTTGGTCAGGCTTCTTGGGGCAGCAGCAGCAGCATCCAGTTTTCAGAGTCTGTGTCTCCTCCTCACCCAGGTTGGTACAAAGCCCATCCACATGTCCCTTCCCACTCCCTTCCCAATTTTTCCCACAGCCCGGAGTCTTTCCAGCCCTTGGTTGAGGCAGGCACTACCAGATAACCAGCAATGCAGCCAATCAGGACCTGAAAGGAGCCCATGAAATGCAGATGAGGATGCCGTGAGGCCAGCGGGCTACATATTACCCCATTCAGGAGCACGCTTACATGCTCTCATTTGTGCAGTTCGTTTTTTCCCAGCAAGGAGTGAGATCCCCTTCAAGAAGGGGTGCTCATCCCCTAGGGAATAACTCTGCTGGCATCACCTCCTCCAGGCTGCAGTCTGTGGGTCCGATTGGAGCCAGAGGGTCAGATCGCCCTGAAGCACTTTGCTGAGCTCCAGCAGAGTTGGCTGTTCTCATTCTCCTGGCAGCATCTGTAGGAGCGTGAGGAGTGTCAGGTTTTCAGCAACACAAAGAGTTTCTTCCTTCTATATCTGAATATCCAAGGAAAGGGGCGGGGGGAATAGCACTTTGGGCTCACAGGTCCTTCAATTATTCTGCAGCCAAAGCAGAGAGACCTAAAAGGTTGGGCAGGTGTGAATATATACATGGTATGGATAAGGAAATTATTAAATCATCAATATCTGGGGAATAATTTGCTTATGTTAATACAGAAATGTGAGACATACTAAAGCTTTTCAGGCTGGAAAGTCTCCATCTGTTTATGTATTTTGGGTGCTTCTCACTTCCTCCCTACATCCAGCTAAACACTGCCCATGGGCAGTTCCATTGCCCTCAGACCTGTGCCCCTCCCTGTGGACATGGCTTTGCTTTTAACCATATTTGAACACAGCATAAAACCATAAGAATTCTGAAAAGTCAGATCTGGTGTGATCTTTCATATCCCCAGCAAGCATGTTGCAGTACAGTGAGAGTCTGACCCTACAGCTTTCTAGGAACTTGTGCCTTCACCAGTAACGGTTCGTGGATGCAGTGCCATGTTACCACTGACTCGCTCCATTTTGTCTGCTCAGAAGTTTGTCTCCTGTCTGGCTGTTTGGAGAATAAAAGAACAAATTATTCTTCTGCTATCCCCTTCTTCCTGCACTTGTAGCTTCCCTGCATCTGGAGACTGGGTGAGGCAAAGGTGCAAGCCATCTGCCAAGCTATGAGGCGTAAATCATTGCATGGGAATCTTCTGAGTCTGTAACCACCTGATGTTTGAAGGGAGGCCAAAGGGTCAAGAGTCTGAGGGAGTTTCCAGCTGGGTCCCTGTCCAAAGTGGCTGGAGCCAGAGAGTTTCCAGCAGTATTTAAAGAGCTTTGTAGCTTTCCAAGGAGACTAAAGTTCCCAAGGTTCTCCAAGCATGCTTTTGAGCATCTTCCTCCTGGTATCTGCTTCCCCAGAAAACTCACCCTGAACTTCAAGGGTCTTTTTCCTTGTCCTAAATCCATAGGGCTACTGAATGTATGAGAGCACCGAAATCTGACCTGGGGCAACACTTGCCCTTTGTGAAGACAGACACTGAATAATCTCTCTGGTTTACCTTCTCTCCTAGCACCTTTTGATGCAGAACCCGTCTCTTCTATTCCCAACTATTGTCCATCATGGCAGTTTTCAAATTGCCTCTCCTGTGAAGAAAGCCCTAGCTATTTGGAGCAGCTGGTAGATTCCTGTCTTCAGACAGATGCACCCTTAGAGCCGACCTTCAGTGCTTTACAGACGTCCTCACACTACACCTCAGACGCCTTCCAGCCAGTCCCACTCTGCTTTAACCAGGGCCTGGTAAGCTTTGTGTCCCAGGGGAGCAGCCAGGGGTGCACTCAGAGGGAAGACAGGGAAGGGAGTCACATCCTGGGGCAGAACAACAGCAAGCTGATTTGGAAATGTGGCTGCTTTTAGGGGCATGACACACAGCCACAGGCCTCCAAGGGCTGACCCACTTCCTGGGTAGCCAAGCCCTCCTGAGAAAGCCAATGATGTGGAAATTCTGTCTGCATTTCCCCAAATGTCACTCCTAAACATCCTGTTTTTTTTGTTTTTGTCTCACACTCTAGGCTGCCGGATCCCCCAGTTCAGCTGATCTCTCCAGCCCGTTAAACTATAGCTGTTCTCCTCAGCTATCTCCTTTCACCCCGCCGACCCACAGCCCACCCTCTGCTCTGGACACCAAGACCTATGGCTACCCTGTGGAGGAGTGGTCCTGCCATACCCCCTCTCCATACTCCACCTCTGCCTGCTGCTGCACCACCTGTGGCTCCCAGCATGTGGACAACAGGGTCCCACAGTACTTCCCCTGCACCAACACGGACTTCATGGACTACCTACCACCCATGGCTGTGGCTGATGACCTCTTCAGAAGGGACAGGAACTGTGACATCTGCTATAGCTAATGGGGACTGTGGTTTCACACATCCACTGTATCCAAATCAGATTAATTGCCCATGAACTATGCAAAGTTGCACTGCCTAACACAGTCCAGTTTATTCTTCACAACTCACATTTCCTACATGACATTGTCACTACATTAGTCCTCCTGTCTCATACAGTATGTGTTTTGTTGTTGTTGTGGTGATGGCTGGGGTTTTTTTCCTGTTTCTGTTGTTGTTTTTTAAAGAAATCCTAAGCTGACTTCCCAAACACATGTCATTAAGCCAGCTCTTTTTAATACAAATAAATAGTTTGGTACAAACACTGAAGCCTGTTCATTCTTCACGTGCTAAAAGTCAATGCTTTTCTCTTCTGTTAATGATCCAGGATCCTGGCCTTGTTTTCACAAAGATGAGGAAGAGACTCTCAGCAACCTACACAAGGAGCAATTACTCAGCAGTATGAAAGGTCTTGCTTTCCCTTTCCAGCAGATAAAAAGTCTCTACTTATCTCAGCAAACAGCATACTATCTAGAGGGAAAGCTCTGCAGCACTCCACTCTGAAATGGATCTGCAGCTTCTGCAGAAGGATCTGCAGCAGAAGCCACTGCTTCTGCTCAGGATGCCGTGATGTTAATCTCTACTGGTTCTTGCAGAAAACTGCTGTTTACCATGCAAGCTCAGAGCTTAACCCATGGGTTATGTGCCAGAAAAGCCCCTCAGACCTGCACAGAGGTTGAATCCAGTGCCAGACTTCTTTGGCTGCTTCCCCATGAAGGCAGAGTTTCAGTGAGAGGCTGATGTAGTTCAGCAGCCCTTTGTATAGCCTGATCTGTTGGTATCAGGTTTTCTCCACCTTTCAGCAAATCAACTGAACAGGAGCTTTTAAGTAGATAATGGGAAAGTTATCATACCTGAGGATTCCCCGCCTTTCAGCAAATCAACTGAACAGGAGCTTTTTCTTTTAAGTAGATAATGGGAAATTTATCATACCTGAGGATTCCCCATTTCTTGCATAAGCCCAGACCTTTCTGAGATTGTCTCTCACCTCCTTTTAATAGCACTTGGTGAGGCAGACTGCCTCTGGCAGAGGATGCAACAGACACACATATCTGGCTGGCAGATAGGGAGGTTTCCTTCATTCTACCAAAAAAATCAACCAATATTTCCTCAGTCTGTGAAATCTATGAAGAACCAAGAGTAACATTTTTTTTTTTAATGAGACTTTAAAAAAATATTTCTATAATGCCAGTTATTTCAAGCTTCTTTCCCCTCCTTCATCTGAAAACAGAGCTGTTACCTCCCAAGCAGTCTTCAGGGTTGTTTTCACTTTAAGTTCTATATAAGCTAAAAATGACATTTTTTCCATGTCCAGTCCACTTCCCTAGACAAGATGTTTCATTTTTGCTATGCTAGACAAGGAGATTACACAGAAATAACTGCAACTTTCCAACATCCAGATCCTTTACCTTATGTAAGGCAGCAGCTTTTTATCCAAAACCTGCCTTAAAATAGTTTGATAGCTTTAAGTAATATCTTGCCCTCTCCTCTGTTGTTACCTGTTTAATCTCAGACTTGGCCCAAGTGATAGACGCATTTGGTCACAGAAAGCTTATAAATAGGAGTCAGCAGCTGTATCTTTGCTGCAGTTAAAGGTGTGATTACCCTTGTGCTATTAGATATAACCCTATCTATTAGATATCATTTTAGTAGTGCTGGCAGGTGCTTCAGCCCCTGTGTGTTATCTCAGGACACTGGAGGGTTACACTTCTTCTGCCCCAGCCTGCACAGTGCCAGATACTCCTGCCTGCTGCTTGAGGAGTGGGCACACCTTCAGCCACATATCAAAGACCCTTATCATCAGCGTGAAAGAGACACAAGAAGATAGGTTTGAGGCAAGGTATTTTGAGACTTCTAGTGGAAATGGGGTGACCATATCCTCCCATGGGCTGGCAATGTTGGCCTGAGCTTAACAGAGCCAGGAAGAGGTGTTCTCATACAGCAAAGGAAACAGCATGTGAAAATGGTAAGCAAGTGTTCAAGAAGGTGACCACTTATATTAACACATTTTACAGCAAGGTTAATAGTATCCCAGGCTACACAACATTGCCAGCAAGGAAGTCAGGCGTTACAGTTTAACAATGTATAACTTGCCTCCATATCAGGCAGCTATCTAAATCTAATAAGTTATCAGCAGATTGCACATGTATCAGTGTATTGTGGCATGGATTTGTACAGCTCTCGGCGGTTACACTGCATCCCCAGAGAGGACTGCTCTGTCCAGACTGTGGCGTGCAGTGGAGAGGTTGCACCCATTATTGAACCTACAGCTACTGGTTTAGGCATGACCCCTTAGGAATAGCAGTGTGAGCAGAAGCACTACAACCACCCTACATCCCATTCTTATTCCTGCTCCTTGGATGTTGCCTTGATGACCCAGACAAAAAAAAAAAGCAATCCTCCAGTGAGGAAATCTGTCTCTTGAAGGGCTGCTCTGAAGCTTCCACACTTCCAGGGCTCTCAGCTGGCTGAGGTCCTGAGATGGAAGCATGCAGTGTGTTCTTAAAGGCAGCAGATACTTAACAGGTATTGGTCTCATGCTGCATGGGACCAGCTTCTCCAAAATTACCAGCTGCTCCTAAGTTACCAACTGCTCTACTGGGACAAGGATATTTCCAGCAAAATGTTTCTATGCAGTGGGGTCTCTGGCCTCTAACAGCCTCCATTAAGTAGCACTGTCCTCCATCCCTTGCAGCCTCTTCCTATTTCTCTGCTGCTCTTTCTCCAGTTGTTTTGCAATCCCCCATGCCAGGGACTGCAAACATGTTTCAGACACCATTCCCCAACTCCATGTCAATAGCTCCAGGTGACATGCAGTGCAAGTAAAAGCTTGCTGACTGTTGACACAATGATGTATGGTTGACAAAAGAAAGGAAGGGGAAAAAAAAAAAGCAACCCAACAGAAGAGGACTATTGAAAGGTTGATTGTGTGTTTTTTGGCTATGGGGAACATATTCTTTCCCCCTTTATTCCCCACTCCTCAAAGAAAAAGGGGTTAAAGGAAACTAGCTTGAGTCATACCTCCAACAGAGCTGGCGCAGTGCTACTGAAACACTGGCATTTCATCAGTCCCTGCCAGATAAAGTTCTGCCAGCCGATATAAACATGTATTTACACAAAAGCGAGGATCACCCCATTCTTACAAAAGCCATGAATAACTCCAGAAGTAAGACATAGTTATAGAAAAAATGAAAGGTTCTTATTTTCAGCTTCTTTACCTGTTACACAGAATATTTGATCAAAACTTTTTCCTTGCCAACTGACTGGTGACTTTTCTATGCTGCCACTTCAGAACTTTTGTTTGGTGATAACAAGCCTTTGTTATTAGCAACTTATCCAAAGCCACAGGTAGGAAGAGATAAACTGTGCAAATAAAGGGGTATCACACACTGCCAGTACTGCTAAGGTTATAAAAGGTACATTTCCCCTGAAAGAGTCATTAAAAATTGAGGGGTTAACTGTGAACTAAGATACTGCTCAAATCAATGAAATTCACACTGGTGCAGAAGACTTAACACTCAGGCCACCTTTGAGCCTTAAAGGGGATTTTCTTGATACACAGGCCAGGAACTGGCTGGCTTGACAGGGAAAGGGAAAGTTGCTTTATGTGCGTGGATTCAGTCCAAAGACAATATGAGCAGCTTGTTGATTGTGGCTGGCTTCAGAGCAGGCCTCTAATGTATGAGCTTTGGGAAGCTGAACACAGATGTGCCTGTAGAGAGAACAAATCCTTCCTGGGTTGGTCATGGGATGTTCCCTCTGCAAATCTCATCTCTCAACTCTGAGTAACACAGGCTGCCAGGGTGATGCTTTGAATGAAGCCACATCCATTCCTCTCCCCAGACTGATATTTTCCCCAATGTTCTGGTGATGGTAATGTTTACAGACTACAAGTCACTGATGATGTTGCTCCATGTTAAACATCCAACAACAGACAGATGAAACAATAAAGAGAAAAGCTACTCTAGCAAACAGCTCATGTATTTTTTTCACTTGCTGCAAAAGTATTTCTGTCATCTCATAGACCTTTCTAGATGGCAAAAAAAAACTTCTTACATTTGCCCTGGTGCAAAATGCTGGTCACAGTTTTACAGTTTTGTTGCCAGCGAGTTCAAGAAATGGATATTTTATTGACCATTTTGTCTTGACATGCAGTACTAACTCACCAATGCAATTATCACTCAATTGAGGGCTTGTTATACCATCCCTTCAAACTAAGAAAGCACATACTTTTGCTGGCCTATGCCCAGATACATGCAAATTTATGCAAACACATGCAAATACACATCTGGTTTTTTTTTTTGTCAGTGGATCTTGGCAAGTTTGTAGATATGAATAGTGCGAAGCAATAGCAAAACAGCAGAGAGGAGGGCTGAGAAAGTCAAGAAGATCTCTGCATTTCTTAAGAGCTTTTGTTCAAGCCTGATAAACAGTTGTTTAAACAGTCTGGGTCTGCAAGACTGACAGATGCTTTAGAAAAACCCCATCACATTGAGATAGTCAGTGGGCGATCAAGGAAGTTACCGCAGTGATTTAAGACGACTGCCCTTCATCTTATTGTTCAGTCCTGTTAGGAAAAAAATAACTCGTGCAACATTGAGAAATCAGCAAACAATCATACAGAATGTGTACTGAAGATGAGATGCCCTCTGTGAAAGGGTTGTCAAAACATGGCTTTCACTCCCTTCAGGCATTCACCTTCAATCCTATTGACCCAGCAGAGACACTGTTCCAGTTGATTGCACAGCAATTCACAAATCATTTCACAGAAAGAGTAAGAATATCTATTAAAACACCCCCTTAGATAAGGCACTTACCACATTGCACACTGACCCTGCTGTGGAGCCCACATGGCTCAAAGGTTTCCTAGCATCTCTATGTCTAAAAGCTGTTGAAGACCCAAAGGGAGCCCCCGTCTCCTACACAAGCATTAGTTCAGGTGAGGGTTCAGCTCCTCAGTCTGA